ACACAGAGAGAACACCCCTCTGACACACAGAGAGAACACCCCTCTGACACAGAGAGAACACCCCTCTGTCACAGAGAGAACACCCCTCTGACACAGAGAGAACACCCCTCTGTCACAGAGAGAACACCCCTCTGTCACAGAGAGAACACCCCTCTGTCACACAGAGAGAACACCCCTCTGTCACACAGAGAGAACACCCCTCTGACACAGAGAGAACACCCCTCTGTCACACAGAGAGACACCCCTCTGACACAGAGAGAACACCCTCTGTCACACAGAGAGAACACCCCTCTGACACAGAGAGAACACCCCTCTGTCACACAGAGAGAACACCCCTCTGACACAGAGAGAACACCCCTCTGACACAGAGAGAACACACCTCTGTCACACAGAGAGAACACCCCTCTGACACAGAGAGAACACCCCTCTGTCACAGAGAGAACACCCCTCTGACACAGAGAGAACACCCCTCTGACACACAGAGAGAACACCCCTCTGACACACAGAGAGAACACCCCTCTGACACAGAGAGAACACCCCTCTGTCACAGAGAGAACACCCCTCTGTCACACAGAGAGAACACCCCTCTGTCACACAGGTAGAACACTCAGATTCCACTGAGTCGAGTCTTTTAGTCCAACACAAACTGAACCACATCAGACACAAGAAACAACAGTTTTTCTCACACACATTAGTTTATGTAAATGAGTCGTGTGGTTTAAGTTTAGTTTGTGTAAAACTTAAATAAATCTGTTTAAATCTGTGTGAGAGGAAAGACTTGTGGAGTCAGTGTCGCTCTGAGCCGCAGCTCGACTTAAAATCCAGAGTTAAACAAAGAAACAACTGAACCTCGTGGTCTGTTTTTACACTCGTCCTGGTTTAGTCCCGGTTTGGTCCTGGTTTAGTCCTGGTTCAGTCCTGGTTTAGTCCTGGTTTAGTCCTGGTTTAGTCCTGGTTCAGTCCTGGTTTGGTCCTGGTTCAGTCCTGGTTTAGTCCTGGTCTAGTCCCGGTCTGGTCCTGGTTTAGTCCTGGTTCAGTCCTGGTTCAGTCCTGGTTCAGTCCTGGTTCAGTCCTGGGTCAGTGTGGATGAGTCAGTGCGTTGCTAAAAAGCACAAAGGGAAAAATGTGGAGTTTAATCTTCAGTTTCGTCGCCGCAGCAGAAAATTGAAAAGCCTCTTTACCGTCAGAGGAAATGTCCCAGAGTGAAGCTTTAACTCGAGACCAGGTTCAGGTTTCTGTTTTTAAAGAAACTTCCAGATGTTTCTCCTGCACGTTTGTCTGGATCAGACCCACAAACTGAACCAGGACTAGACCAGGACTAGACCAGGACTAGACCAGGACTAACCAGGAGTAAGTTTAAGTTTAACTCTACACCCTTGAGTTCCTCTGAGGTCCTGACAGAGTCCTGGTTCAGATCTGGGTCGGGTCCAGACTTAGTCCTGCTGTTGGACTCTGATGTTGTAACAAAAGTCTGAACATGAGACTCTGACCTCTGACCTCCGAGAGACCGAACCAAGTCCAGACTCTTTCATCAAACTGACAGACTTGGTTTAGTTCTGGTTCAGTCCTGGTTCAGTCCTGGTTTAGTCCTGGTTTAGACCTGGTTTAGTCCTGTTATAGTCCTGGTTTAGTCCCGGTTTAGTTCTGGTTTAGTCCTGGTTTAGTTCTGGTCTAGTCCTGTTATAGTCCTGGTTTAGACCTGGTTTAGTCCTGGTTTAGTTCTGGTCTAGTTCTGGTTCAGTCCTGGTTTAGTCCTGGTTTAGTCCTGGTTTAGACCTGGTTTAGTCCTGGTTTAGTTCTGGTTTAGTCCTGGTTTAGTCCTGGTTTAGTTCTGGTTTAGACCTGGTTTAGTTCTGGTTTAGTTCTGGTTTAGTTTTAGTTCTGGTTTAGTCCTGGTTTAGTTCTGGTTTAGTCCTGGTTTAGACCTGGTTTAGTTCTGGTTTAGTTCTGGTTTAGTCCTGGTTTAGTTCTGGTTTAGTTCTGGTTTAGTCCCGGTTTAGTCCTGGTTTAGTCCTGGTTTAGTCCCGGTTTAGTTCTGGTTTAGTCTTGGTTTAGTCCTGGTTTAGTTCTGGTTTAGTTCTGGTTTAGTCCTGGTTTAGTCCTGGTTTAGTTCCTGGTTTAGTTCTGGTTTAGTCTGGTTTAGTCCTGGTTTAGTCCTGGTTTAGTTCTGGTTTAGTCTTGGTTTAGTCCTGGTTTAGTCCTGGTTTAGTTCTGGTTTAGTCTTGGTTTAGACCTGGTTTAGTCCTGGTTTAGTTCTGGTTTAGTTCTGGTTTAGTCCTGGTTTAGTTCCAGTCTGGTCACTTCGGGTCCAGACTTTCTCAGTGACGTCATGACTCGGGGTGTTTGACGCTCGCGCCCACTCTGACCTTTCCTCGCGCCGCTCCCCGTGACTCACGTGTCCCAGGGGGCGCGCACGCACGTCCCGCAGCGTGCCCGCGCCCTGTCACACACACGCACGCGCACGCCTCCTCCTCCTCCTCCTCCTCCTCCGCGCGCGCGC